TATCTGATACTGTTTGAATGGCTGCTTCCAAAGATTATCCAAGACTAGCATATTTTCACTATTAAGGAAAATTTCAACTCCAAACCCAAGACCTTGCTTCCAATATAGCAAAAACTCTGCAGAGAAGACATAAAACATCACCAAAGTCCTGGTCAAAAGCGGTTCTGTTCAGTTTTATAACTTCAACCTGTTCCTCAAATATGGATTCCTTAAGAAAGAATGCACATCTCTATACTTAAAGTAGTATGTAAGCGAGAGCATGGGGGGGGAGGGGATGGAAAAGAAGGTGTCTTTAACAGGATGAGGCTTTTTTATTTTCTAAAATAAAATAACCCACCACTTCCCCATATGGACTTCATTCTAGAAAAGCTCAGGAACTATGTGCACTGAGGAATTCAGAGGGCATTTTCATGTGAGGAACAAAAAAAGGGGGGGAGGGTAATTTTCAGACTATACTTGACTGGGGGAAATCTGAAAATTTTCTGTGGTTATTAGAAAAAGTTATATTTGATTATGTAAAACATGCATCTTCTCTAAAACCTTAGGTTCAATATTTGTACAGAATGTAAGTGAAATGAAATGAAACTTTCTATATAAAAAAAATTTCACTAGTTTTATTGATATGATTTTTTTAAAAACTCACTAAAAGTTTGATTAAGATGCAGTTCTAGTTTCCAAACAGCTTTGTTTTTTGAAAGTATCACAACAGATCAATCAAGTGACTTGCTCAAGGTCATGTAATTATATCACGTGGAATTAGAATTACTGGTCCCTGCCTTCCAAAACCAGGCATAAATAAAATTCTTCTTAGAACTTTTTAAGCAGGCCAAGGGCTGGCTGGTTAGCATGGTTGGTTAGAGCACAGCCTTGTAATGTCGAGTTCAAGGGTTTGGATCCCCCTACTGGCCAGCACCCCCCCCCCCAAAAAAAAACCAAGAAGGCCAAAATGGAAAAATCATTTCACATTTCCTTTCTTTGTAATCAAAAGGCAAGAGAAAAATTAATTTAAATGGGAGAAGAGAACTTTAATAAGTTTCATCAATGTATAAACTATTATTACCCCTAACCATGCACAGGTACCTCCCTCAAAATCCCTCCCTCAAAATCAGTAACTTTTAACAATTTACAAAGGTCAGGCCTCTGTGTAGCCCTGCCATATGATGGCACCATAAACTTATTAACATGTTTTAAAATCAGCACTTCATATGTATATTTATAAATAGCTCACTTCTGTTATCATTCAAATGACCTGGTCAGACTGGAATATGGAAACTGAGCCCTTAGATTTTTTCTTTTTAAGTTAAAGGGTCATAAATAAGTTCAAAGTTTTCTTCAGAACTCTGAAAGGAAAAGGGATATTTTAACACTGTCCATCAAACAAGTGATTAAATAAATAAGAATCATGCAGGCGGGGGTTGGGGGGAGAGGGTTGAAGGGGCAATCTATACATTTTTACATACAATACCAACTTCCTCTTCCTTTTTCAAATCCACCACTTCTCTCACACTTTCTGCCCCATCCTTTTAATTTCTACTCTTAAATTGCTGATATAAAACACTACTTCTGAATTAATAACCACAACATAACTTTCAGTGAAGCCATATTTTTAAAATATTAACTGGACTGGGATGGAGATATTACAGCAGCTAAGAACACTTTGTTGCAAACACACTATAGTCATATTTAGTAATTTTCGTCACACTCATTTTTCTAGGTTGGATGGTACCATTATCTCCATCTCACAGATGACCCTCAAGTTCAAGGGTCAAGAAAATTGCCCTTTGCTCTTACATTATGGTCACTGATATTAAAAACTAGCATTAGATCTCAAAAGTACTAAGTTAATGGTTAGGCTGAAATTTTCTCTGGGTTATATTATATATGAACAACTTTAAAACATTTATAACATGGGCCGAACCCGAGGCGCACTCGGGAGAGTGCGGCGCTAGGAGCGCAGCAGCGCTCCCGCCCCGGGTTGGGATCCTATATAGGGATGACCGGTGGGCTCACAGCGCTCACTGGCTGAGCACAGTGCGGCCGGTCTCAAAAAGGACAAAAAAAAAAAAAAACATTTATAACACGATTTTTCTTATTTCAAATTCAAGTCTACCTCTTTCTGAATATAATCTTGAAGCAATGATTTCTCTTCAGCCCTTAAGCACAATGTGGTCACAGGGTATTCAAAGCAAACCAAAAGCAAAGACTGGGAAAAATTAAACCTGGAAGGAAATAAGACTACATGTCTGACACTTTCCATTGTGCCAGAAAACAGATCTGTCATTATCTGGAAATGTATTAGACTGAACTATATGAAATTGATGATATACAACGTTTTCAACCTGCAAAAACAAATCTCATGTAGTTCAACCTAATATTATTTTCTAAGCTCATCTTAACAACTGTCTCAAATAAGGTCCTATATCCCAAGGCACATAACGCATTATGTCTCCAGATTGCCTCAACCTTTTGAGAAGATTTGCCACCCTGTCCAAAGCTAGACATTTGAAAAACTAAGTTCATTAACAGAAAAGCCAAGATAAGAAAAACTGCCAAACAGCTAAATGTAACCATGGTTATGTGAGCCTTAAAACTACTCCACATCCTTATTAGAATTCCCCTTTCTCACCAACAGCATTTGAATCCTAAGTAGATCTGCCTTTTAGAAGACTTACATATAAGGAGATACTAATGAAAATTTAAGTGCTTTGCATCTTTTCCAGCTATCAGTAAAAGAGGATTCTAAACATGTAGTAGCACTCTTTACACAGGGGTTCCACTAACCTAAAAATCTATTGAAGAATCTTAAGTTGATAAGTTCCATTTCTGTTGGAGAATCTGGCTTCTAACCTTTCTAATCAAAAGGGTGATTACCATCCCAGTGGGATGTATTTTTCCATTTAGATAGATTTGATTTACGGACCCAGAAGAAATACCTGACACTTTCACAAAGGAGGAAAAAAAAAGAGGTTTTGGCTCTAAGACTGCCTCTGGGTCCAAATCCATTATTTCACACCCATTTTTATTAGAGTCTAATATCCATAATGCTAATGATCTCTTTTCTCAATTAATTCCACTAATGAGTTATCTGTTCTTATTCTGCCAGAATTCCTATCCTTTACCATCTATCTACTCATCAAATCCATCAGGCCACATATTGTACCTTCCTAGAGGGATGTTTTTCCCTAGGATACTTTGTAAACTGTTAGGGCAATCTGATGTTGCCTGTTCTATCTTCCCAGACCTAGTTAATAGTACACAACAATATTAACCATCAAATGAAATATGTTTTAAAAAAATAATCAGGGGAGAATCTCCTGCTCTATCTGGAAATTTCTCTATTCAGCTAGTTCAATGTTGACAGGTCAACAGAGAATGGCACTAGTTACTACTACACTCCCTAAAAGGCATTTCCCTCAGCTAAACCATCAACCCTTTCCTAGCGTCCAAATAATACAGAAATTTTACAGCAGAATTTATTCTCCCTGCCCCACCCTCAACAGCAGCATCTTCTGATCATTTTCATCCTAAACTGAGGTTTTCTCTAAAACCCCATGTGATGCCAAGTCAGACAAATACCCCCTTCTGTATATTCACTTCTTTCCTGGAAGTTACATATAATAGCTGCTTTTACTTTATTTTGAAAACTATGCATGAGGTATAATGATAAGAGCTTTAAAGGTTAGTACCCCCATTTTACAGAGGAGAAAAGCTGAGGCTTAGTGACTTGCCCAAGGTCATACAGGGCAGGGACTGGAATCCAAGTCTGACCTCAATGTCTCTGCCCTTAACCCTCACGCTGTCTTTCCTTCTCATCTCTTCATGTCCTAAACGTCTGCTCCGAGGTCTTATAAATGCTCTGCTTGGGGAGGGTCCAGTTTCTCCAAAGGCTGTATTTCCTTTAAAAGATAAGCCTTGGAGAAGAATGAATGCCCATTCCATCTTTTCCCCATGCTACGCCTTCCACGTGGCACTATTCCCAAAGGCCCTTTCCCCTCCCTAGGGCCAATTTAAACTTCCCCTTTGTCCCCAAAACAGGCACCATCCGATACAGAAGAGCCACCTTTTACCCTCAAGGCTAGGCGAGGGCCGAAGTGGAAGAAAGAAGAGGGCAGACAGCACCCTTTCCCCAGGCCTTCGATCCAGGATACTGTGACTGAGGGCTGGGGGTCTGGGGACAGAGAGAAGGGAAGGGGGCGGAGGTGACAAGAGCGTGCCCTTGGTGGTAGGCAGGGTGGGCGGGGGGAGGGGATGGGAAGGAGGCGTGGGACACTCTGGGGGTTGGTAGCTTGAATAGTGGATGGACCTCAGTAAAAGGCAGGGGGGTACCACCCAGAGAGGAAAGGGATCAGGCCACTTGGAAGAAAACGTGTGCTGGGGAGGAGGACCTGGAGGTGGAGGTAACAGGGGATGGAGGGAAGAAAGGGCAGGAAGGGGGCTCACGGGAGCAGAAAACAGTGGTCACCGGGGAGGATGGATGGGAGCTGGGAAGGTGGGGCGCCTCGAGACCCGGGCGCAGGAGCTAGGCGAGGAGGGGCGGGCGGGCGCTGGGGTTCGGGGTGCGGGGAATGCCGGGAACGGGAGCTTGAGGAGACCCCGGGGGAGGGGAGGCGGGAGTTCTCGAGCCGAGTAGCGGGAAGCGGGGTTCCAGGGAGGCCAGAAAGGGAAAGGGGGGGTCCCAGCGCCAAGAGAAGGGCGTGTGTGAAGGCATCGCCGGGTTCGCGAGGGAATGGGGTCAGGAGGGCGAAGAGGGTGGGCCGGAGGCTCGCGGGGGAGGAAGTCGGGGTGCAGAGAGCGGGAATGTCCTGGAGTCCCCCGAGGGTCGGGCGTGGGTCCCCCCGTGGGCTGAGGTGGGGTCCCTGTAGTCTTCTGAGGGCCAAGTTCGGGTCGCCTCTGGGTCAGGAGTCTTCTGAGGGCCGGGGCCCCTCAGGGCGGCGCGAGGGTTCCCCGGCTCCCCTCAAGGCCAGGGCAGCAGCCCCTGGGATCCCAGGCCCCCTTCTTACCTATGCCGGGCGCCACATAGACGAAGTAGAGCAGCGAGGACGACAGCGAAAAGAAGAAGAGGGCGGCGAGCAGCGAGCGGCGCGGCAGCCGCAGCAGCCCCCGGCGGGCGCGCATGCTGCAGCCGGGCGGCCGCTTGAGGGCCGGG